ACTGAGTGAGAAGTGATGTGTGGGTGCTTAGCTCAATTAAGAAAACACTCGTCTAGCTTCCTAATTCTGTTGAGTGCCGATTGACAGATCTTTCAAAAATATTGTTTGCATTCGCAAGTAATTTGTAAATCCAATTTATTGGGCATATTTAGTTTTGCGCTTTGTTGGACAATTATAAAATGATGAAAACCAAAGATTGGCCACATATTCTTGAGGTTTTTGAACTAAGCCCAATTCAAATTCAAGGCTTATTCAAATTCAGAACGTTCCCCTGTGCACAATCAACTATTTAGTTTCCGTCTAAACACGCCCTTAACTCATTTATCAACATAAAAAGCGAGTTTTGGTCATTTCTCAACTTCATTTCGAAAAAACGCGCGCGCATTTCAAATTAAAAAAACGCCAAAGACCTTTCGATCTTTCCAGACAGCTATAAAAATAAAAATTGGATAGTGTTGTAGATTGTGAGGATAAAGCTTGCCATATATCATTTGTATACCCTGTAATGCTTAGCGAAAGGGTGTATATAGCTTGTACAAGTTAAAAGCTCTTGAGCAATAAATATTTATAGATATATTCTGAGTTTATCAAAGTTCATAATCTCCTTTGACTCTCGAGTTCGTCTGCGAAGCTATACAGAGTATCTTAGCATCGTGAACACTCGCTTGTCGCATTCATTCAAGTCGCTCGTAAAACTTAAAGTTCCCTAAGCTTCTCGCCCTGTTTATTGATTTGTTTCGTGTGAATTTTTGTCATTTACTGCGACTGTTTACGATTTCGCTTTCCGGGAACTGGTCGAATTTCGAAGATCAAATTAAGAACACATTTTCGTTAAGAGCTAACCAAATAGCAAATAAATAAAAACCATCAGCAAAAGTGACTTCATCGCAACTGCATGCCTGATGGATGTTACGATAAGTGCTGCGATGCTGTAATAGATGCCTATAAAAACCAGCCCAGACACGCCCAACAAGTTCAAGATCAAGGTCAACCAGACTCAGCAGTCAGACATTTGGATAAATATCTATAAATTGTCAACGAATGCCATTTGAATGTTGTCTGCTCCCACTGCGAAATGCATTCAAAGGCGGCCATAAATCACTCAAATGTCGCCCACTTCCACTCATATGGGCCAGCACAGTTTACGAGTGGATTTACGAGTAGTTGTGGGTGGCGTCTACTACTTATTGGCTCTACAAACAAATGTGCCGAGCCATGAAGGCCCATCAACGCGGAGTACACACAATGTATAGCGGGTGGTATTCAAAATAAACAAACAGACAGACAATTACAACAGTAACTGAGACATAGGCCCATGGCCAATGTCAGGCCATGTCTCCGACGTCATCGCCGAAGAATTTGTCGCCGACTCTTGGCTCAGCTGTGCGCCACCAAGCTGCGACAGTCGCAGTGTCTGCCAAAGCCGTCAAGCGGGTTGTGCGTGGCAATTGACTTGGGATTTCAACCTGGGCCCGGCGGCACTTTTAATTTATGTGCGTATATGTATGTGCACAGGCATGAATTATTTTACAACAAAAATTATATATGATTAGCAGCGAAATTGACGCATTGGAATTGGCAATTCGAATGGCCAACAGCAACGCGCTGCCTGAGGCGCTCAGTTAGCCATCGGGTCGGAGCAACAGACTCCAATGGCTCAATTATGTGACACAATCACAGTTTAGTCGAAGAGATAATCAAGTAGCTAGAAAAGATGACAGTAAGAGTGGAAGAGGTTGAAAAAACTCTAAATGGAATACGAATGTACATATATATGAACTGAGCGAGTTGGGTAAATAAAATCTTGCATTTTCACATCTGATGCAACAACGTGTAGTCATCCGATGCAGAAATAACCCTTTTATCAACTATTTGACTTTTTGACTGTCAGACAGACATCTATCTTATCTCTTATCAACTATATGACTGATTATGATTTATAGCGTTCCGTCAGACTGTTGCCTACATTTCCTTATATATATATATATATATGATGACATCAGATGACTTTAGAAATGCACTGCATATATGCTATATACCCTCAGTCGTCGGATACTTGCATGTTTTTAAAAATTAACAGATTTAGATATCTCTAAATTCTCATATTTTCCAACTCAACTCAATGCTGTCGAAATTATGTTCATTTTTTAAAATACTCAATTCCAAAAGCTTCAAAAATCTTTTGTAGACTGAATGAAATATCGGGCACACGCCAATTTTGGAAATATTCGCTGCAGCCAAAAAATATGCAGCACAGTTTGTCGTTTTTCAGTGAATATGTTTGAAGACTAATATCATAAAAGAAGTTCGAAAGAAACTCGCTTAAAGCTGGCTTCAATACCCGCTTAAAGTCCAGCATGAAGCTAATTGTGTGCGTCTGCGACTATTCGAGGCGTCGCCACTTCTACAATCGTCCAGTTCCAGACCGCATCCAAGTGCTCTCCAGTGGTGAGGGCAACAACCCGGCTAAGATTAACACAGTGCGACGTTTGCAATTGGAGCTGGATGCGGTTAGTGGCAACTATGTGCTGCGTGAAGTGTTGCAGCAGCAGGTGCTGCGCGATTGGCTGCGGCATGATCTAGGTGTCCAGCTGTTGTGGCTGGCATTCCGTCCGCCAGAACGTTTGGCCATCGATTACAAGTGGGCGGATATGTTGGCGCACACCATTTGGCAGCACATCGAACTGGAGCAGCTTATGTGCTGGCTGTCGACGCTGGGCGGTGGCTACTCGGCGCTCGGCGACCAGTTCGAAGGCTGCGCTCAGGCAGCGGGTCAGATCTCGCTCCAGCAGCTGACAATTGGTCTGCGCCTGGGCGATCCATTTGTGCAGGCGCGCTGCAAGCTCTACTACAGCATATCCCTCATACAACGCGGTCAACTGCGACGTGCCAAGCTTCTAATACGCTCACAATACCGATTCGCATGTGGGGAGCACAAGAAGCACGACCAGCGTCTGGTGCACATGTGCCTAGGCATTTGGCAGCGCCTGTGCTACGAGTACGGGCTGCGCCAAAGGCGTCGTTTAATTGGAAATAGCAAATGATATTTTTATTCAACAAATACTTAATTGTTGTTGAAAGGGCGCTTAAGTTTGGGAATAAAATTAATTTCATTTTTGTGCTCCAAGTTTTCTGTCTTTAAAATATCGCCCTTCTTTGCGATTCTCATGAATTCAAAGATTTGAAATTTTAGTTGTTTTTAGTCACTTAAAAAGCGAAAGCGGGAGGATGACTGGGAGAGAGCGATTAAGAAAAGGCTCTGCTTCTTCGCTCAGCGGACTAATCCAGCAGCTAGCGTCATTGAGGCTAATAAATGTTAATAAGCCACACACACAAACTGTGCGAACAAATAATAGCTAATTTTAGATTAAAGCTAGCTACAATATGGCACGTGCAACGAACTAACAATTGACTATTTCAACTGGAGCTTAAAAGCCGTTTGATATTTACAGCCAGCTTAAACTTTATGTGTCACGCCCAATGGGCCAAGGTAAATTACAAACACACAAGTCAACAAATTGAAAATAGAATGCAACACGGCAACAGTAGCTAGCCAGTTTCAGAAAGTGTTAAGTGGAAATCCACATAAACACACAGACAATCATATGAGCCAAGCGCGCTGACAGACAACAAGACACGAGCTCTTGCTGGGCCAGTTGCGAATTGTTTTCTGGTCAGTTGAACGAGCGTCAAATTTGTTTATGAATGGCTCGTTAATAAATCACACAAATCCATTCAAGAATCTCACTCGCCAGCTCAATTTGTCTTTGCGCCGGCGTCGCCACATCCATTCGCGCAAGCATTTGCCATCAAGTTTTTTGTATTTTCCACAAATATGATAAACAGCATTAGATGAGTTAAGAGTTGAGTTCAGCGTATAATAAATGTTTTAACATTTATTTATGTTTTTCAGCGCTTCAGCATTTCAAGTGCAATGTAAAAAGTTGCCCAGTGAGCAAGGAAAATAAATTGCCAACCCAGCAACGACGACAACAACAAAACAACAAGAGCAACAGCATCAGCAGCAGCAGCAACAATTGCAGCAAGGAATCGTCAAGCGTGCAACATGAGCAGCAAACGCAGCCACATCATGTTGAGTTGCCTAGTAATTACCTTAGGCTTATGTAAGTAAATTCCGCATACGCCACGTTCTACGGCCAACATCTAATGATTATCATATTCTCCTCCCTAATGTCTCGCTCCATGTTCTACAGTGGCGCACACAAGCCAGGCACAGTTACATATGAGCGCAGCCAGCGCCGGTGTCAGCTTTGCCAATGATCCCGCTCCACACGACGCGGCCGTGGCTGTGCCACCCACAAAGGCGCACAATCGCCGCATGTATGCCATGTGCCCACCACAATTCCAACGCGTCGGCACCGATTGCTATTCGCTGGTGCAGCAGCGCAGCAGCTGGCTGGAGGCGCACTTCTTTTGCAAGGATAAGAACGCCAATCTGGCCGAGCCCACCAAGTTTGCCGACCGTAAGCTGAGAATCTACTTGCAACGCGAGGATTCGTTATCGGGCGGTAAGTTAAAATAATTGAACAAAAAATAGCTCAATATGAATATTAATAAAAAACTTGCAAATTGGCAGAACACGATCCCATTTGGATTGGCGGCACCTACGATCATCATAACCACAACTGGCAATGGAGCATCAGTGGACGTAATCTGACATACGATGCGTTTAGCCAAATTGATCCGACGTACGTATGAATCCGATTATGATTGAGTTTTGTGTAGTTTATTTTGCGGGTCGTTTAATGTTTAAGCAACAATTTTAGCTATGTGCAACTTATCTCCAACAGCAAGCCATTGGATAATAATTGCGCTGTCTACGATCCGAGCTTGAAATATCGTTGGTCGGCTCGTTCCTGCCCCGATAAATTGCGTTTCATATGCCAGCACAAGATGCCAAAAGTGAGTGAAGCGAATCGTTATAAGATCTACCATCGCTGGAATGTCACCTATCCCAATTCACTGGCCAATGAAGTCGTTTTGGAGGTAATCGATCGACGTGGCAAGGATCGCAGGTACGTAAAAAATAAACATAACAAAAACACACTCACCAGGCAACTGTAAGACACAAAAAAATGTTTGTTAATTGGGTAGCTAATGTGATAAAAGTGTCACGCACCTTAAGCAGTGTCATCTGAAACCTGCGGACTGCCGCTCGGCGCCTCTTCTGCCTCCTGCTTGGTGGCTTCCTCGGCTGCCAAAAACTCGTCCCATTTGGATAGACGCTCAGATGCCTCAGCGGCTGACTCATCAATTCTGAAATACATATCAGTTTAGATTTCCTGCTTTTATAGCCCTCAACTGCGACTCACTTGTATTTAGTCTTGCCATCCCAGTGCTCAGCGCTGAGCTGTCGCTGCCCAAAGTACCGACCCTGCATCATTTGTATGACAACGTCGGCTTCCTCGGGTGTGGACATGTTGATCTGTGCGATACCCTCAGGATGGCGCTGCAATGATATTGTACTTAGTTAATATCAATATATAATAGTCGGAGTTCTTAGTACTCACATCATAGATGACCACTTTGCGAACCATGCCGCATTTGCCGCACTCTTCGCGCAAACTGTTTTGATATTCCAAAATGAGCTCCACTTCTTTCTCAAAGAGCTCCGGCGTAAACAGATTTTTGATGATGACCGTTTTCTCGTTCTTTGAACGTTCGCCACGCATTTTATCGGGTCGCCAGTCAAACAATCTGTGAATTAACATAATATTCCGCTGATTTTCTTTAAGTAAATTGTCGGGTATTATTTACTTTTCTTTGATTTTCTGCAACTTTTCCTTGTCCTTCTTTTTGCGTTTGGGCTTCAGGGCCGGATTGTATTCGCCACGCATTTGAAACTGTGCACGCTGCACGCGTATCTTATGGCCGCGCAGAATATAATCATCCAAAATCTCCAGAGCCAAATTCACAGACTCCACCTGTGAAGCGAGAAAGGGGAAATATTTAATTTGGAAAGGATATATACACAATTATTAATTAGTTATTAATTAATTTATCTCTTGAACAGCAGCTAATTGTATTTGTTTGTATGCAGATTTCATCGCCGCGTTAAGGCCGAGGGCAGCGCTGAGGAAATGATTATTCCAGCCCGCAGGCGAGGCCCCGGCAATCGTCGCTACCCACAACGCAATCGCCAGCAACCGCAGCCAACGCACCCCAACGACGTCAACTATCCACATCAACAGCAGCAGAAGCGTCCACGCAAGCGGCCACGTGTGAGCACAACTCAGCAGCCGCGAGTGATCAGCAATGAGGTAACATCGACAAGTGCTGCTCAGCCAGGCACGCCCACTACGCAGCAGCAGATGACCTCCTACGACCGCAAGCTGCAGCGTGAGCGGCAGAAGGAGCGACGCCGGCAGGAACGCAAGCGCGAGCGCCAGCAGCGCATGCGCCAGGAGAAAATGGAGCGACGTCGCAAGTTGCTTGAGGAGCAGCGGCAACGCAAGCCAGCCGAGGAGCAGGAGCAGCAGCGTCCACAACAGCAGCAACGGGAGCGAGAGCAACTGCAGCAACATGAGCCGCAAAGCGAGCCAGATGCATTGCGTCAGCGAGCCATGGAAGAGCAGCAGAAACAGGAGCGGGAGCAGCGCGAGCAGCGGGAGAAGCAGCAGATACAGGAACGCAAAGAGGAGCATGAGCGCGAATTGGAGAGATTAAAGCAGAAGCAGGAGCAGGAAGAACGCCAACGTGCCGTAGACGATGAAGCGCAACGTTTGCGCGAGAAGCGCCGGCAGATTCAGCTAGAGCGTGAGGCGGCGGAGAAGAAGGCACGCGAGGAACAGCTACGCAAACAGAAGGCGGAACAGGAGGAAGCCGATCGACGCTATGCTGAGGAACGTCTAGCCGAGGAGAAGCGTCTGCGCGAAGAATATGAGAAGCAACTGCAGGAGGCCAAGTCGGAGCAGGAGCGCAAATTACAGGAGGCGCACGAGGCAAAGCGTCGCGAGCAGAAGGCCATACAGGAACAGTTGGAGGAGCAGGAACGCCAGCGCCAGGAACAAATACGCCGCGAACAGCAGGAGGAGGAGAAGCGTGCGGAACTGGAACGTATAGACGCGGTGCGTCGCTTTGAGGAAAGCGAACTGAAGCGTCTGCACGAAGAAAATGAGCGCCGCGAGGCGATACAACGCCAGCGCGAGGCGGAAATTGCTCAGCGCGAGGCCGACAAGCGTAAGCTAGAAGAAGAGGAGGAGCGACTGCGTCAGGAGCTGCAGGAAGAGGAAAAGGCGCGCAATCGTCAGCTGGAAGCGGACATGCAACGCGCCGAACAGGAGCGCAAACAACGCGAGGAAGCGGAACAAGCCGCTGCTGCCGCCAAAGCGGAACAGAAAAGGCAAAAGCTCGAGGCAGCCAAACAGATTGCCGACGCCGAGGTAGCTGCCCAATTGGAAGAGAAGCGTCGCAGCTACGCCTCGCGCATTGCAAACCTCGATCCCGAGGAACGGCAGAAGTTCAACGACATGCGCAAGAAGCGCAAGCAGCTGCGCGAGAAGCAGATAAAGGCCCAGGAGCAGAAGAAGCTCAAGCGGATACAGGAGGCCATTAGGCTAAACGACATGCAGTAAAGCACACACATACACACCCAAACACACACGCAAATACACACACAGAGACGCACACTAACCAACAAAAATGCAACGGCAAAGTAAACATATCGTCAACAAAGTTTTGGGTGTAAACGTGTTTTCTTTCTTTTGTTTCTTATTTTGTTTTGTGCGAAAAAAAAACACGTAAAAGTATTATTTACAATAAAGGAAAACGCAAGAAAAAGTTTAAATCAAACATTATAAGGAAACAAAACATTTGCAATAGTCGTGCACTTTTTTGAAAATATGCGATTTATGAAATATTTCCACGCAAAAGTTCACGCGCGCACTCAATATCGAGCTCTATATGGTAATGTACAGCTAATATATATACATTTATATATATATATATAAATCTATGATATGATATATAATAAAACTAGTAGATAAACACACTCAATCACACACACGCACACATTGTTTCCTTAATAACCAAAATTAGCAAAAGCATTTCAAAATAAATCAAACAAAAGAAAGAAGAAGCATAGAACACAGCTTTTTTTTATGAATTATATAAAGCACAGAACAATGCGTATTTAATTAGAGCAAACGAATATAATGCTTTTTAATCTTAAGTGGATCGCAACTCTCCTCATTTGTGTCAGCCTGATGTGTCCTCTACAACCTTACTCAGAAGGCCACGCCTCCTCAGCCTCCCCCACCCATGAGTTGTTCCGACTGGCCAGGAAGCAATAATTTATAAGCCAAGCATAACATGAGAAACTTTTTTTTAACCACAACAAAATCTATCTATAAATGGCCGAAAAGAGAAGGAACCCATTGCAAGGGCTAAGCGTAACTATTGTACTAACAACTAACTAGGTTATATATAAATATATTTTATATTTAATAATTATTGTATGTTTAAATGTAAATTTATTGTATTTTTTAATATGTACCTCAAAAGCGAAAGAGAAAAAAAAATAACAAAACTGAGATGGAAAAAAGTACAGAGTGTCTTTCACGTGAATTGCATTTTTCTTTCAAATTGTGTTTTCTTATTTTTTGTTTGTTTTAAATGAAAGAAAGCTGAGAAGTGAAAAGCAATTTTTAGTAGCCAAGTAAATGCATTTTAAAATTACCAAGTAAACAACAACTAACCAATTTTAAAAACAAATATAAAACTATACATATATCAATATTATATAAAAAAAATAAAAACAAAAAAACAGAGATGAGAAATAGTCAGCAGAAGTAGGGTGAATATTAAACACACGAATGAAAAGCAAAGAATACAAACTGAATATTATGAGCATATTATAATAATAATAAAAAATTAAAATAACATTAATAATACATATTAAAATATCTTTAAAATTAATGCAAGCAGTTTTAATTTAGTTAAACAAACAAATAAAGTTTCAAACACAACACTAAGAAAAAAAAAACAAAACTTATTTGATTTTTTTCTAATATCAATTTGGTTTATGAAGTAAGTATTAGCTGATCTGGCATTAAGATATATAACTATAGCTTAATGATGAACAAGATCCAGACTTGGACAATATATTTTCGCTGCCAGCACAAATGTCAAAGGCGATCGGATCGGACTACTATATCATATAGTTGCCTTAGCAAAGATCGGCTAAGAAATGATTTTCTTTTAAACGTTTTTCTGGTTTTCAACTTGACCAAACTCTGCAAATGCAACCTTCACTAATTTTCTAATATATCTGCAAGCCCATGCTATATCGTATCAAGTTTTTGCTTAAAAACACTTCTAGAAATATTTCCTGGATAATGTCCATTCTTTTTATTCCAAATGGTAAAAACTATATTTGGAGCTTTAATTAACCTGGCTCAGATCCAATTAGAACTTACCTTTATATAATCACATAAGCCATCGCCTTTGATTTGTCCATCCGCTTCGGTATACAATTTAAGTTTGTATTTCTGCGTTTGCGGATCGCGCATGACCAGACCGCATTTGCCCATCAGCTCGGCGAACTCATCCATGGTAATGTCCAGAGGCAAATTGGAGACATAGACTTTGGTGTTCTGCGTGGGATCTACTTCGAACCATTCTGAAAAGTTAGGCGAGACATAAGTTAGAGAATTAAAGCCAAAGCTAGTGCACTTACTTGGCGGCTCCTGTGCTTTGCGCTTGCCCGTAACAGAAGCTGTTGGGGCACCATCTTTGTCCAGGATGGGCGCATTCATGGCCGCCTGTGCCTCGGCTGTCATGCGCTTAAGTTCCTCCGCCTTGCGCTTGACTTCGGCAGCCTCACGTTCCTCCTTCTCTCGCTCGCCGGCACTGGTGTTGTCTATAAAGCCGTAGTTCATCTGATAGCGCGCCATGAAATCATCATCGATCTTGGGAAACCAAGCGGATTTGTTGGCATCCCACAAGAAAACGACGCCATCTTTGTCTGTGTAGATGCGATCGCCGTTCTCATCGATGCCATAGACCACATCCTGGCCAGGCGCTGCCTGTGGCTGCTGCTGCGGCTGCTTGGGCAACCACTTTTGCTGCTCCGCATCCCATTTGTAGTGCTCCGTTTCGGTACTTGAAGCGTTTGACTGTTTGGGCAGCCATTTCTGCGTCTGCGGGCACCACTTGTAGTGCTCGTTCTCATAGAGACTGCCCGCCATGGACGCCTCATCGGCCGTCAGTGGCTGCCAATTGTTTTCGGTATTGCACCATTTGTACTTTTGCTTGGTGCTGGGATCCGTGTAAATGGCGCCGCCATCGGCCGCATAAGTCACATGCTGTTCGTAGTCCGCAAAGTCCTGCTGCGCGGACTCTGCCTTGACCTGGTCAGGCAATGTGTCGCCTGCTGTGTGGCAGCTTGTGGCACCGGGCATCGCCTCCTGGTTTTCAGTTTCGCTTTCTGTGGCAGCTGTTGTGGTTTGCTTTGCCAACGTTTCACTTTCCATTTCAGGCTCATCGGGTTGCTGCTCAGCTGAAGTGTTGGAGGCTGTTTTGTTTTCCTTCGAAACGGTTTCCCTTTCACTGGCTGCTTCCTCAGGTTGCGCCTGCTCCTCTACAGCCTTTACTTGGCTTTCACTTTCCTCGCTCATTTTTGTGCTTCTGTAATTATAGACCGTTGTCCAACGCAGAAAAGTAGACTATGTTTTAGTTCTTTGCAGCTAATTTCCAGCTAATTTCATATTTTTTGTGTATTTCCTGCCCACCTAATCATAAAGGCCACGCGAGACGGCTAAATAAATTGGAGAAACGTGTTCATGACGTTGACATTGTGCACCCTGCCAAATAAAACGGCAACTGCGGCCACAACAATCAAAATACACAGAATACAAACAATTTTGCACCTTTTGCTTTGGTTTTTTGTAAACACAATTCGCACGTTGATTGTGGCTCCCGTGTGGGTCAAGCCTGGGGGTTAACCCAATCAAATGCAAACGAAATGAAAAGCACACGAAACACCCGAAAAAAAAAACACAACAAATATAATCCCAAGAAAAGGCGAACAAAGTTCCGTTTTTATAGTGCAAGAAAAGCAGAATAACAAAATAGCTAAAAGTTAGACAAAGCTCAACTTAAAGATGCGCCGTAAAAAAAAATCAATGATATTACTCTTGTCAATTTCGAATATTAGAGTTTTAAAGATAAAGAAAAAGATCTAAAGAGATTTTTAGTAAGGTAATTTGAATTATGTTTTATGCTCCATTTCAAAGTACCCTAATTCTTATAGCGTACAGCTTCTACGTTTCTTTTATAATTAATGTCAGGATTATAACATATAACATCTGAGAATTCTCCTATATATATGTCATATGCTATTAAGATCTCTTAACGGACATAGCTTAAATAAGCCACTTTTCATTTAAAATCTGTTAAGAAAGCCTTCATTCTTTTTATACACGTTTCACACAGCCCTTGTAGCCAAAAGTTTACGGGGTATTTAATACTTGACAGCAGCTGTTGAAGGTCAGGCAAACAATTCTATTTATTTTTGGCTACCTAGCTTAACCCAAGGGCTCTCCATTTACCAGGTTCAAATCGATTGGTTTTAAGCCGCGCGCCGTAAGTTCAATCAACCGGTCATAGGTAGGAGTCGGTGACAACTTGACTTGGGTTCCCTAAATGCCGATTGATTTGTCAAGCTATTACGAGAGAGACTTGAGAGTTGTCACAGCTGTCTCAATTTACGTCAGCAGCGAAGACGTTCCAAAGGGTTCAATGTACTCGCCATTAATTATAACAATTTGTTGGGTGTATTTGGAAGTTTATTATTGGTTTCGCTTTCGGATATTCCACTAAAAATACGCTAAGACCAAAAGCCGACCTACGGTCGAGTTCAATGGAACGCGTCTCTAGTGCAAATTTGCATTTGCAGAAAATTTTGACGCAACCGCGAGGCAGGCTCCAAAGGGCCAGTAACTGGCACATTGGCCGACAGTCGGCACACATATCGAAAATAGAGGCATGCAACACAGCCGTAACTGGCAACTGGCAACTGACACCACCTTCGGCAGTGGGCTCACATAACTGCAGCCAGTTGCAGTTAGCCAGTTGAATACACAAAGTCCTCAGACGATACTCGTAAATTACACAGACAGGCAGGCAGGCAGGTGGCCAGCATATATATATAGTCATTATACGAGCTAAGTGTACATATATGAGTAGCCAGCGCTGTGGCTTCGTGTTGTACAAAACGTGGACACGCCCCGTCATATGATATAGTCAGTTTTTTGTATTGGTTTGTAGATCATAAATAGTACGTGGAGATAAGTACGGGCTGAGTTATTGCCTGAGATCGAATCTGCATTGGTTATTCTTTAAACAGATTGGGTTAAAGCGGGGCAACACTTAATAATTTGGTTGCATATTTAATGAAGATTTGATTAAGAGAAGTTAGGGAACATTTATTGTCGGAAATACAGATACAATTTGCTGCATTCCAACTCCCTCCCAACCGACAAGTCGCGCAGTAGAATCACGAATACAAAGTAAGACTCTAGGCTAAGACTAAATACTTCCTAAATAGTTTTGAATAGATGACATTAGACGAGGAAGAGAAGACTCCACGCATTTTTATACAAGGCATAGTTAGTCGAACAAAATTTAAGCGATAAAGTAAGAAATTGAATTGGCTAGTCGACCCAGGAAAGTCAATTTCACCCATAATACAAATTTTCAGCAATATATCTCATTTAATGTCGGAGAAATGGCCATGGTTTTTATGAGAGATCCCTCAAGGAATAGAAACCTACAAAAACTCTAGGCAATTTGTAGCTAAGAGTAAGATCTGCAGCAGTTTCAAGGCTGGAAACTAACGACCCTTCTCCCTGACGAAAAAGCACATCGTCATCATTATGGTCAAAGCGAATCGAGAGTTAACTGGCATTAACCCAACCTAACCTAGGACCTGCCGCAAACTACTTACTTAGCCAAACCCAAGGCAATTGCTTAGCCAATCCGTTGACTTTGCCAATATTAGCTATAGATTTCTTTAGCTACATTGTATAATTTTTTAATGTTCTATAATAGAAACATTAATGACCAGCACGCAGTTGCTTGAATGGGAATCGCATGGCCTGCAAATTGTGCTGGCATTTCAGGGCCAAGCCTGGAGAGGGGACGCATCGCAATTGCATAATAATAGAATGGAAAATTTTCTTATACAGAGCAAGAAATCAATTAATTGACGCAAATTGTCTGCGAAAGCACAAGTGTGAGCCGTGATCAGGCTATTTAGTCGGCCAACCAAAGGTATTTATCAACTGGCGAGGCGCCTGAAAGGCCATAAAAAGGGAAAAAAATAAAAGAAACCCCAATTCCAAGTAGGCTACTTTACATACAGAGTAGACGAATTAATTAACTCTTAGAGCTGAAATCGGCAAAATTCCAGCAAATGTGCTTCTGGCAAAAAATCGTCGACTGTGTTATGCAAATGTCAACAGGTCAACAGAACTTACCAGTCCACATATAAATATATAATTTTTGTTATTTTTAACATTTGAACAGTTGAAGATTTGCGCACATTACTCACAAATGCCATTAACACACAAGCCAAGTTTGAGGCTATTCGCACTTTGGCATAACTTAACTAAACACGACCATTGCGCCACCCTAGTGCCATGGGTTAGGGTGACTCACTGTTGCAAATAACGTGGCAGCTGTTGAGGCAAGCGGCCAAAGTCGAACAAGACGCCTAAGCCACCAGGCGTACAGCACAAAACATTTTCATAGCATATTTATGGGGGCAAACCCAGCCAGTTAGCCAGGACCTAGCGCTAGCCAAGAAGGGCTGCAAGAGTGGGCGTGTGTTTGTGTGTGCCTGTGTGTGTGTGTGTGTGTGTGTGTGTGTGTGTGTGTGTATGAGTCCTGGCTAGAACCGGGCAGCTCTTGTGACTGCTTGACCAGTACACGCCGAAACGTTCAACTGACCACAAGTGCCGATTGGGTTTACGGTCTAACGATACGAGTTCTATTGCTGCCGATATCAAAGTTGCGAGCACGCAACGACAAATTGTTTTCTCTTGTACATTTATATATATGCATATATATGCACATATATACACACATATATAGCTGGTGATAAAAATTTCAAATGAGTTTCAGTTTAAGTGCAGCCGGCAAATTATGCACAAGCCTAATGTCAAAATCGATAAAACCAACAACAAAATTTAAATAAAATACACAAATATATGAACGCATTAAGAATATAGAGTATATATATATATATATAGAGTATAAAGGTATAGACAAGATGGATATACCGAGCAGCGGTGCGATATTTACGCTGGGCAAATCGCATTTGGCGGAAAATACGCAAAGCTATTTCTATATCAAAAACGATCCGGTTAAACGTTTGATATCCGGTCCGCATCAGAGTGCGGTTATATGCGGTAAATGGCCAAAACACAGAAACTGACCCCAATCCATGCACAAAAAAACTCCAACAAGCCGCACAGTTAACTAACAAGACTGACTGCCCGTCTGTCTGCCTGTCTGTCTGCCTGTCTGTCCATCAAGTTGGCTAATTCTAAACAACCCTTGCATTTTGTTAGAAGTCTACAGCCTGGTCAAGACGCGGCGACTTGCCCAATTGTCTTTTGTGTTGTCTGTGGCACGCTTCGTGCCACTTGCCGCCGTGTTGCATGTTGGCTGCAATTTTCTTTTAAATAATAAACACGCAGCGCACTTTCACTTTTATGCTAACCCCAACAGCTTGAACCAACTCAATGGCTAAATTATGGGCACAGACGATAATTACCGCCAAGCTGGCCAAGATGGGGCATTCATTTGTAAGGATTACACTCGGCCCTATTACATAAGTTATTCTACAGCCTGTTTGTAACTCCATAAACTGAACGTCTGTTTAAAAAGCCTGACCAAGCACTTCAAATCACAGCAAAATTGGCTTTCACAAATCCAACAACGTGGGCGGCATCTAATGAGGTCAGCCGCGGGAAGCAATGAGGGCGTGTTACCATAAATATGGGCCACACTCACGAAGCATGTTAAAGCAATAAAAGTGAACGGCGAGTCAAAAAGGCTAAAACCAAAACCGAAGCGCGTTACCAATTGAAACGTAAAGCGGGTCAGGTGAAATAAAGAAACATGTGAAGGCAGTTTTCGACAGTTGGACATTTTGGGGATTGGCAGTGGCACACGCGCAAACACACACACACACACAAACACACACACACAATCAATAAACAAAAGTTGTAGTTAAACAAAAGCAACAGCCGAAAGTTAATGTCGAACTGTTCTTATCAATTACAGAATCGGGACGTCTTTTTGTTTGGGGCGAGAATCACTATGGTCAGCTGGGCATTGGCGGACATGGCAACAAAAACAACAACAATAGTAATGGTGATATAGTCAGCAAACCGACCTGCGTCAAGTCGCTTAAAACTTTGGGCTTAAAGATCAGCGATGCAGCCTTCGGCAACAATTGGGCCGTGATATTGACCCGTAAGTACAAACAGGCTAAGGGAGCTAAACTTAGGGCCTATAATAGGCAGAAAGTAGACCAATATGCTGCTCAATATTACTAACAAAATACAAATGATGTAAGTAGACCCGTTGTTGCAGTTGATTGCTCCTCGTAATTCACTGAGGAAATGCATAGTTTCCGCTTTCTCTGGGAGAGGCGAATTTTGCGAATATCATAGATAGATTAAATAATCCATTCATCTTGTCGACGTCTCTTGCTAGAATACCAAATGGCCTTTAACACGAAAGTAAGGGTATATCCGAGCCGAAAGATAAATGCCCTTGTAAACATATTGTATTAAAAAGATTTCTATACAAAAGCCTTATTTCTGAAGGATTTTTTCTATATGAGCCATTCGATATAACAGACTAAAGCGAAATAGCGAGCTTAGAGCACGGTAATATAAGTTATTACTAAGTTTCGTGCTGCTAAACTTTTCTAAAATAAACTTCATTTTTGGTCACATTCTTCGACAGAGCTAATCGATATTGTAGTCCGATGTCAATAAGATTTTGCTTATATATAAAAAGCATAGAGAAGTGAAATTCTTTGGCACTAAAAGCCAAAAGAACTTAAGTTTCGACGGATCATTGCAATGCAGCTATGGTCCGCTCATGATTCCGGGCAGAGTATTATGACTATATTGAGTCGGCTGTTGATATTGATAAGGAATATATATACACTCTATAGAGTCAGAGAGGTCTCCTTCTATACATTACACATTTCGTGACAAGTTTCCTTTAAATCTGCTTAAATTGCATTAAATAAGCTCTGAAAAAGGTTAACCTAATTCCCTTCAACTACTAATTATCTGACTTTTTACAGTTTCGAATGAGATATTTTTTACGGGTCGCAATATATACCCTTTGGATACGCACGTGGCGCAGCATTTTATAGATGCGGTTGTCGAAGAGGAGCCATGTGCGATTATTAGAAAGCCCTTTCGCTTGGAGGAGTTTGATGATTATCTATCGAAGAACGAGGAGACGGACAACTTTGTGGCGCTGCAGGCGGGCAACGAGCACTTTGTGGTGCTAACCAGTGAGTAGCCAAACAGAAAGTAAAAAGAGTCAAACCTCAATTCAAGTTCCAACTGCTTGCAGCCAAGGGTCGCTTGATTGGCTGCGGCTCGAATGAGAAACAGCAGCTGGGGGATCTGGAGACAGACTATGACGGGCATCCCGTGGAGATACGCCTGGATGCTCCAGTGCAGCAGTTTGCCTGTGGACCAGAGTCCACACTGGTGCTCACGGGTAGTGGGAATTTATTTCTCACCGGTCGCCTCAATGAGTTTGTCTTTCCCAAGTTTACGGAACTGCAGAAGAATCTCTCCCAGACCGAGCAGATCATCTTCATGCACATATCCAAGGCGAGCGAGATCTTCATAGTGACCAACGTGGGCAGCATCTATCGCAGCTTCGAGTCGGTGCGCAACAAGAGTTTGGTCTTTCAGCGCTTCTATGACTACGATAGCGAGGAGAATGGACCCATTTGGAAGCTTCTCAAGGGCTCCTCCTTCTATGCGGTGCTGAGCAAGGCCAACAAGTTCTTTACCACTTTTTCAGAGAGTGGACATCATCTGAAAACATTTCGCGAGATCTCCAAGTTCAAGAATCTGCGTCTGCTCGACATAGCCGTTGGCGACCAGCATATTCTGGTACAGGGCTTGCCCAGATCATCCAATCTTTCGGCTACAGTCGGAACGCCAGCGGAGCCGCACAGCTATATGAGTCGCAGCTTTGTGCTGCAGCCAAGGGATCTGAATGGCAATGTGGAGATGCGTAGCGCCAGCGGCAGAAGTCTTTCCAAGCAAAAAGCATTGAAGGAGACGGACACCGAAACGGACAGGGAACAAGGATTCAATGCAATGGGCGCAAGCGTAGCAGCAGTGGGTGCAGCTGTGGCCACGCTGGAGGCAGTGAAGCATATTTCGGATGAGCAGCAAAATGGCACAGATGAGCAAGAGGCTAACGCAGAAATAGAACAGAACCAGGAGCCGGAACAAAATGCAAAGATAGAGGCAATAAATGCTGATGTGAAGGAAGCGGAAGTAAAGGCCGATTCAAAAGTAGAAGAGTTAGATGGAAACAAGGAGCAGCCGTTGCTAGAACAAGATGTAGAGAAGCTGGAGGCAACACAAACTGAAGCTGCCACAAACGGAGCAACTACCCCAAAAGAGAGAGAGCAAATAGAGCCGACAGCACCTGAGGAAAGTCCAATTAAACAGCCCACAAATCAAACAGCAGCAGCAACAGTGGAGACCATAACAAAGCTGCCAACGCCACCTGCGGATACGCCATCGCCCAAGAAATCATCAACAGAATCGTTAGATTCAAGCGACTTTCCGTCCCAGGAGCTGGCCACACAGAGCAGCCAGGAGAAGCAGCTGCGTCCGCATACTCCCTATCCGGAGAGCAGCAATGCGAGTACACCACAAACTATTAAGAGAACGCCCATCCGCAACTTCTCCTACGAGGCGGCCATGAATCACGATGAAATCGAGAAAACCTCGCCCGAGCTGGTGGACAGTCTGGATACAGTCGAGGAGAATTCGCTGAAGGAAAATGCCCCGCAAACAGAAATACAAATATCCACGCCCACGCCGCCAACCGAGGAGGACGAGCAACTGGCCGTTGAAATAACGACCACAGAGGATGCGCTGGACAGCAATAAGGTAGTGAATGAGATACGTTTCATTAACAATGGCGTCGATGTGACAGCCAAGGTTGAGGAGCAAATGCCTGACACACCATTGGTCGACTCCGTGGAGGAGCTGGAATCGGACGGTGAGCAAATGATACACGAGCTCGAGCAGCATGTAGATAAAGTGGTCGCAGAACAAAAGACAGAGGCTATCAAAGCCACGGAAAGTGTGGGCAATGCCATCGAATCCAAGCTGCTTGAGACGCGCGATTCTGTGCAGATGGCAATGCACAATGCGGCGACAGGGGCACGCGATACTGTTGAGGCTGCGGGCGAACGCGTGGTAAATGGTGCACGTCAAGCGGTCGATGCAGCTGGCAAAGGTGCCCAGCGTATAGCTGATGGAGCCAGAGATGCTGTCGATGCGGCAGGCAAGAGCGCACAGCGCATGGCCAGCGATGCCAGACAGTCCATGGAGCAGGCGGGCAGCACAGCTGCCAAAGCAGCAGCAAACACAAAAGAATCCATGGGCAGGGCCATGGACTCAGTGACCAGTAAGATATCCAGCGAAGTGCATGGCGCCAAGGAAAACATTTCCTCGCTGTTCCAAATCAAGGCGGCTAAGGAAACACGTCCTACGCCAACGCCTACTTCGACACCGGAAGAAGCTGGACCGCAGAGAAGCATTGAAACAGCTGGCTCTGGCGATGTAGGGGGCGAGGGAGAGGAGGATGAACGCACCACGGCCTCAGTGAACTCTAATCACAACTCCGCGGGCCCTGGCAATGGCAATGGCAATGCTTACGAGCCCATGAACAGCAACAGTCATGCCTTTGAGGAAGATCCACTCGATGCAGTAGTGGAGCGTGGCAAAAAGGCGATGCAGGAGGAATTGCGCGCCCTAGAAGAGCAGCGCGCCCATTCACATGTCCATAACAATATCGAGCAGCGGCGGCAGAGCACGGAAAGCAAAGGCATTATCCAGCAGTTTCTAGACGGCATGCGTCTCTCTTGCCGCAACGAGAAGGCCGTGCAAATTGAGGGTGAGTACATAAAACCAACTTGCGACACATCTAAATAAATACTAACCTGAAAACGTTTGTTTTTCGGCCCGGCTACCGGCAGATGAGGCACCACCGCAGTCGCAGCCGTCGCACTACAGCAAGAACAAAGTCAACAGCGAGCTGAGCCTGCAGAATGGCCAAAATGGCGCACAGCAATCGTCACGCGTGTGCACAATTTTATAAAAACGCACTATATATTAAGGGTAGCGAACACTTTTATAAGCAATTGCATTTGATTTAAAATAAACTTGCAGATTCAATTTCGCATTAGAAATGCATGTTTTAACCAAATATTTATCGATGATTTGTAACAACTATCGATAATATCCGATATTGCAATTCGTTCACACGCGAATGGCCACAGTGCTGCTATTGGATAACCAAATGCCATCATCAGATCACGACAACGAAAGTAGCTTCAGTTTTCATTATACAAAAATTGTGTGTTAAATCAATTATGAAGAATTATTTGAGTCTACTATGTTTTGAACATGTTTATAGGTATTACTAGATGTTATCTGGCACCTGTCACAGGTGATGTGATCCTTGTGTGCACCTGTGACAAGTCGCAGGTAAGTTAACATCACATCTCTAAATTGCACCAGTTCAACGGGTCATTTGTACCAGTTCTTTCGCGTCTATTTGGTACGCAAACAGTAAAAGCAAAAAAAAAAACAATTTTTACTATTTTTCTACGTTTTATAAATGAATACAAAACCATAAATAATGCTTTAAAGCATAGTTTTAACTGAATTAATAACAAAGCGCGTGCTTGGTGCACACTTGCCTGGCCCGCGAAAAATCCAATCAGAAAACGAAAAGGCCAGCACCAGCACAAAATGGAAAGGTAGGTCAAAGAGTGAGCGCGCCCAGCGCATAGAGTGTACATGCCCGAAATAAAAAAGGCACGTCTGAAGGGTATTAGTGTTATTAAACATGTGAAAAATAGTGAAAATTTCAGTTGGCCCATAACCTCAAAAGAGTTTTGGTTTTCGCTGCTGTTATAATGTGAGTGCCTATGTATGTGTGCCTATATGTGTTGGGTGTCTATGTGTGTATGCGTGTCCGAGTGGCGCGTTGTGAAGACGTCGACGTCGACTGAAAGTGGTTGTCGCTTGTCGGCGAAGGGGGCGACAAGCAGCAGAGCGGTGACAAGGTGAGAAGCGCGAGCGCGAACGTGAACGACAAGATCGAATGTGGAAAAACTACTTTAGAGCGGATTTAAAAAAAAACCTAAAAATTGCGTTCTGCATGTCGCCGCCAAAAATACAAATTCAAAAGGACGTCCATAGCTGGCAACCAGGCTCAGAAACTTTCGCAGCAGCATAAAAATCATCGAGTAATGCGGAAAAAAAACACATGTAATTCGCGAGAAAGTAACACGCTGTCAGTTCGCCCCAAAACGTGAATGTGTGTGCGTTCGATTGCGTGCATGTGTGTGTGTGTGTGTGTGAGTGTTTTGTGTTTGTATGAGAGAGTGTGGGGGAAACGGCGACACAGCAGCAGCGGCAGCAATTGGAACGTGGAACCTGTCGGCGCACGTAAAAACCAGAGCCAAAAATTCAAATTACATGCATTGGGCGCGTTTTCAAATGCATAATCACTAACACTTTTATAATTTATGTTAAACAGTCGTTAGAGAGCAGAACTTTTGCCGTAACAAAGGCCCCAAAGCAGCAACCTGGGCCAGAGCTAATTCGATGAATAATTTAAATGGAATTATAATTTCTTAACATTTCGCAGTTAGTTTGGGAATTCCTCACATATTTTTGCATACCTTAAAAGCGAATAACATGTAAAGATGCCGCCAAACTACTCACTCACCATCTCTCGCTCTATTAGAGCTGAGCAATAGCGAGAAGTGATAGTCAACGTGACTGTCAAATTGAATTGAATATCCAAACAGGTTCACAATTCGAGACAGATATCACTATTTGCAAATAAGCTCTGATCATTTAATATTTACATTACTGTGACAATCAGCTGTTGCATCTAGTTAAATTTATCGATATCAGTCACTGTTGTTTGACAGTCGCAATTGGAGAACTGCTGTTGCCCAAAAATCACAACATTGCTCATCTCTAATCTCTTGTGCTCTCTCTCTCTCTCCCTCTCTCTTGCGCAGGCAGTAACCAACACAACAACAAGAGCAGCAGCAACAACAGCAAAAACCACAACCAGGCCAGCCAGCATGTCGTGGCATTTGTGAGCAGCGCGCCAAAAACTTGTCACGAAGTTTCTTGTCATAGACGTACGCGTCCGCGCTTAGAGCCACGCTCCCCCTCGCCCCCCACACTTACACCTACACACACATACACACATACAGTCATTCTCCTATACATACACCCGCCCAGTGCTCACGTCCAGTCCTTAAGTGCTTAGGCAGCTTATGATGCATATCAAGAGCCTGCCGCACGCACATCAGGCCGCCGCGGCAATGAGCAATTGCGACATTGTCATTGTTGCCGCGCAACCGCAGACCACCAGCGCCAACAACAACAACAATGACACTGTTACACAGGCAAGCCATGCCAGCCATGCGGCAGCTGTGGCTCATGCACAGCATCAGCAACAGCAGCAGCAGCAACAACAACAGCAGCAACAACAACAGCAGCAGCAGCAGCAGCAACAACAACAACAACAACAGCAGCAACAACAACAGCAACACAATCAACAGCAACAACAGCCGCCCGCGCCTACAGAAATCGCCCTACCCTTTAACATGCATTTGAGCGGAATTTCAGCGGAGGCGCACAGCGCTGCCCAGGCGGCCGCAATGGCAGCTGCGCAGGCCGCGGCAGCGCAAGCCGCCGCCGCGGATCAACAGCCAACAGCACCTCCCGCGCCGCCATCGGCACACACGCTGGCTCACCTGGTGGCCAATGCTACGCATAGTCCGACGCTTGGCGAGTCGCACTATGTCAGCAACGGGCACTCCAACAATGAGCATTCGGGCGAGGGTAATGGCTCGAGCGGTAGCGGCGGCCGGGAGCCGGAGAAACCGTTCCATTGCACAGTGTGCGATCGACGATTTCGTCAGTTGAGCACATTGACCAACCATGTGAAGATCCATACCGGCGAGAAGCCCTACAAGTGCAACGTTTGTGATAAGACGTTCCGTCAATCGTCAACACTGACGAATCATTTGAAAATTCATACCGGCGAAAAACCATACAATTGCAACTACTGTCCCAAGCATTTCCGTCAGCTGAGCACTTTGGCCAATCATGTCAAGATTCATACGGGTGAGCGTACATTATTTATGGCAATTAAGGTCGCAGCTAATCCTAGCCTCCTTTGCAGGTGAAAAGCCGTTCGAGTGCGTCATATGCAAGAAACAGTTCCGCCAATCCAGCACGCTCAACAATCACATAAAGATCCATGTTATGGACAAGGTCTACGTTCCTGTCAAGATCAAAACGGAGGAGGACGAGGGGTGACTAGGACGCATGGCGTTGGCGCAACATCATCATCTCAATCACCAACAGCAGCAGCAACAACATCATCAACAGTCGTCAACGCCAACGCAGCACCAGCAACAACAGCAGCAACAACAACAACAACAACAACAGCAGCAACAGCAACAACACCACATCGAACACCAACGTGGAGTTACCATTACGACGCTGCCGTCCACAACGACAGTGGCACAGCATCAACAGCAGCAGCAATCGCATCTACAGCCCTCGCATGGCAATGGCAGCTCGCCGCATCCTCATTTCAATGTAGCCGCCTTGGGTGATTTGTCCAGCGCCATGCAACTGGGTGCCGTGACAGCCGATGGCAATTTTGTGACCATGGGCGGCGTTGTGGTCGGTCGCATACAGCATCCGCGAAGCGAGGAGCTGCAGCATCTGGGCGTCATCAAGGTGGAATCGCCAACGAATGGCATTGCCGGCTCCGCAGCGTCTGCACAACGCGATGGATGAGTCGATAAGCCACGTCGCAAGCCCAGACTTAAGGAGACCGTTGACTCAAATGATATCGCGTATCTGGCGCCGGAGCAACAGCAGCAGCGACTACGGCGGCGGCGCCGCTTTAACAAAAGATAGACCGTGATCGGTTGCCGTTGTTGTTGCTGCTGAATACGCTTACGTTGTTGTTAGTTGTTTAATTGTAGCGAAACATTGTTGTTGTTGTTGTTGTTGTTGTTAAGGTCTAGCTTACCAAGCTGAATTATCAGGCTTGCCCTTGGTGATGCTCGCATATTTCAAGTTCACATACTATGCATCAAGCTGTTTCCGCAATCTTGGAAATCTTGGCTATACTCAGATGCGATTCGAGTCGTAAAAACGTTGTAATTGTATTTATCTGAAAGAACTTGAAATGTGATACGTAAACCAAACGAGCCTGAATGCAAAACGCTTCAATAGTAGCTAAAAGAAAGGGAAAAAACGTCGCCAACAGCATCATGGCCTAGAAAACGAAAGATCAGAGATACACACACACACACACACATGCAAAGTCGTCAATAGCCACAATTACTTACGAGGCAATCGGTTTACAACAAGCTCCCTTTCAACCTTCTACCTATACACATACTAACTAATAACTGTAACTGTTAGCGCAAAATCCTAAGTACTAAAATCAAATCATTTGATTAAGCAAAAAGTCATTTCGTTTAAGTTGAAAGTTTAGAAAATGCTTCACGAGAGGAGTGAAAAAAAAAAAACACTAGAAATGTTTTACAGATTTGTTATATATACTATACGAAAGAAAAGGCGAAAATTAATCATTTTTCAATTTCAAATTGTTCTTTAGCATTTAAAGTTTAAGAGATTGTTGTAAATTGTTTAGTGCGAGAATTCTGCTGCATTCGCTGAGACACTTGACATAGTCAACGTTGCCCATTGTTTTAAATACCTATATATAACATTTAAAACAAAAAAACACATTAACAATTCTTCTTTTTCAGTTAAAAAAAAACACACAAACAAATTGTAAATCATTGTAAAACAAAATTGTTAATCATTGTAAATGCAGCCATTTTAGTGAGCCCGCGCAAAGCAAGGCGGCTTTGTTGGGGTCAAAGTCTACACAAATACAATTTGTTTTTAACTAGCCTAATTATTTAAATTTTGTTGTAAGCCCCCCCCCCCCTCCCCCCTTCACCTTTTCCTCTGGCTCCAATCCAACGCATATATAAGCACACACACACACACACACACACACACACACATCTAAGCGAAATTTTAATTACCTTAAGTGGCAGGCAGAAGCAACCTAATTATATAGTCTACAATTATATAAACATACTATAATTAGTTGATCCTTAGTTTGTAATTAATGGCCGCGCGCTTTGTTGTGGCCTCTGAAAGTGAGTTTTGTTAATTTTAAATCTAGTTTTTAGTCGTTATAGTTTTATATTTTGCAAATTGGCACAATTTGAAACGAAGCAATTACAAAAACAACAACAAAACAAAAAAAAAAACGCTAGTTAATGGAGTAAGCACACAAACTAATTACTAATGCTAATATTAATCATATAATATTGTGCGATAGAAAGCAACAAGTTCTGTACAAAGCCCGACTCCAATTTTGTATGTATAAAAATGACAGCAGGAGAAAACAAGAAATACGAAAATACTATTTTCTAAAAATATAAAATCTGCCTATTTTATTTTCTATATATATATATATATGTTTTTATTTTTAATTGTTCTTCTCAGCTTAGTCACACATTCGACTGAAATTCCAAATTCGTTTTGAAATTTTTAAGAGTTTTCAATATTTTGCAAAAAGTTCCTATTAACTTTTGATAAACAATTTCAAGTAAATAACTGAATACGAACAAATTCCAATGTATACGAGAAGTTAAATTTCAATTCGAAGGAAGAAAACAAAAAAAAAAAACGATGCAAATAAATATAGTACATAAATGCATACAAATAAATAATAAATGTTGATAAATGTGTAGTGTTAACCAGTGAATACAAAGAAAAGAGAAAAACAACAACAATTGTAGTAATTAAATGTAAGAGCTAACAAATATTCTAAATAATGCTTAAAAGAACTAAACAAAAAGAAAAATTGCCGAATTCCATATTTTCATACGCAAAAGTAGAAGAAATGCTTTGCATTGCTTTTTTACTGCAGTTTTGTATAGGCAAAAAAAAAGAGGAAGAGAGAAAATGAAAACTTTGGAGAAATATTCAAAAGCGAGTAAAAGATTCAAAATTGAGTGCATCATCAAAAAATGTTCGATATATATATATATATTTGGTTGCATTTTTGAGCATCATTTTAAATAATTTGTTTTTCTTTGTCTATATTTTTGCCATTTTATTTGTGTTTACAGTTGTTTTGCATTTCAATTAGAATTTGGCTCGAATGCTTCCTTATCGGATTCTGATTGGATTTATAGGTTGGCAAACGGCACCCTGTCCCAACATATGTATATTTTAAAGCGAAATAGGGGTCGTAGTGAGATTAGCAGTTAAGCGCCTAATTTAAATAGTTGTGTGAGTGTAAAACAGCAAAGAATTTAGACATAAAATGAACAAAGCAAAGAATGCAGGAGATACGAGTAGAAACTAAAATGTATGGTAACAAAGCGATATGCTTAAAAACAAATAAAAAATATACGAAATAACGACTTGATAATATTGTATAATTATACACAAAAGCTATATGTATATGTATATGTATATATTTACATGTATATGTGTGTGCAGTAGCTGTATTTATATGTAAATGTGTATGTAACTGTGTATTTAGTTAAAAACATATATATATATATATTTGCAAAAACTGAAAAACAAAAGCCACGAAACAACAAAAATACAGAAGTATGAAAAGCAAACATTTAAACGGATTCTTATTGGGAGATTGCAACACATCGGTGAATGGTAGATTTTTGATGTCAGTCCTTTTTAATCCCTTGCGCAGCTCGATATTTCGATATTTTATTTCGTGTTCATTTTTACCGAGTCAGTTATCGGTTCACTGTATCGCCTATCGTTAGCGATTGTCTGACCGTTGCGCACCCCCTAATCAGCAGTAGCCGCTTACAAGGAAACGTTCTGCCAAGTTCTGCCATAAGTTGAGATTTTAACAATGTTTCGCCTACAACAGTCACAGCCCGACCCAGCGGAGGAACAGAAACGTGTTGCCGCCGAGGTGCGAAACAATTTCATTATGTTTGGCGCTCTCGTTGCAGCTATTCGGCTGGGTAAGCAATATAAAACGTGCGAAGCTTATGTAAATACAGGTGTTTAATTAGATTCGACCATTCTTGTACAAAAATAGCGCCTATTGTTCTGCAACATCTGAAAACTGCATAACAGCAACAAATTTGGATCTAGAAGGAGGGGGATACAATTTAAGCGCTAAAAACAACTAATAAAAATGCATTTATTTAAGCGCACGTGCATAAAATGCGGCTTTACGATTACTTTTCATAAGCAAAAAGAGAATGAATGTTATATAGGCACACATTTAGTCTTTTTAAGCGTATTGCACCTGTAATGTAAATAAATTGTTTTAAATATATGCAATGCAATACATGCAAAAAATTGCAAAATAGTATACGTTGGGTACGTGTTTGTATACGAATCCTATTTATTTATATCGATATTTAGTTGCAAGATATCGCAAGCAGCTTGCGGCGTTTTCCAACACAGTGGACAAGACGTCAACCTGGCTAACACAATAAAAAAAAACAACAAACACTGTATAAACAGTTGGCAGCTAGCTTTTAGACGAATAAAGAGTGGCCAAGAGGCATAATGAAAACGTAAAATCATTCCCACCCGGCTGCTGACTCAGGCGAACGCTGAAGCAATCCATTAAGCTACTTAGATAACGGCAACTGGCCAACTTTGCAAAGAGTAAAACAAGAAAAGCTACAATACTGAAAGTGGAAACATATGGAACGGTGGCCGCGTCAGTAAAGTTGTAGATAACGGCCCAAGAGACTCTCCCGGCTGCCGCCTTGTACATGTACAACGCAATTATTATTTCCGTCGCCTGTCGGGCGTACATGCATGTTATCTAGATAATGGTTGGGCCCAAGTATGAACGCCTCAACACCGGCGATGTCGACGTTGGCAGCGACGCCGATGCCGAAAACAACATTGAAGAGGTCGAACTAAGCCTAGACTTGACTCATAAAAATGCTAGCGCTAGTCAAGAGCGCCGACAGCTGTCGTCGCATGCCAACTTTAAATACGCGCAGAGCAACAGCAGCGACAACGAGAATAACGGCAGCGACGCCACGTCTGCACAGCAGGAGCACACGCACGACGGAATGACACGGCATGCGGATGCGCGGTTCATGCAGATGGCCATTGGGACGCTGGCCACAATACTGCTATATCTATCGCTGTCCATAACGCTCACCTTCTATCAGACGGACATCAATCGGGAGCTGCCCTTTCCGCTGACCATTGTCACGTATCATTTAATATTGAAATTTCTGCTCGCTGCACTGGTGCGCAGCATCTATAAGATGCGTGTGGGCAAGACGCGCGTCCAGCTGGACTGGCGGGTGGCTGTGCGGAAAATGGCGCCAACGGGCGTTGCCAGCGGCATTGACATCGGTTTCTCCAATTGGGGCCTTGCACTGGTGCCTATATCGTTGTATACAATGACCAAATCCTCGACCATTGTGTTTATACTGCTCTTTGCCATCTTGCTGGGACTGGAGCGCAAGGTGAGCGCGCGTTTGCATTATACATATAACAATTATAGTAAAACCAATTGTTTTTTAGAGCTGGTCTTTGGTGCTCATAGTGGGTCTGATAGGCCTGGGCCTATTCATGTTTACCTACAAGTCGACGCAGTTCAATACGCTGGGCTTCTTCTTCATACTGTTTGCCTCGCTGAGCAGCGGCCTGCGCTGGAGTTTCGCGCAGTTTATAATGCAGAAATCCAAGCTGGGTCTGCACAATCCCATCGACATGATATACCATATGCAGCCTTGGATGATTGCATCGTTGTTGCCGCTAGTTGTTTTCATTGAAGGTGCCCAAGGATTTCAATCATAATAAGAGCAATAAGTTAACATTTTCCACACTTCTGTTCGCAGGACCAAGGCTCTATAAAGTGCTAGAAAATCTGCACAATGTCTCCGAGGCAGATGTTATTTGGACACTTGCCCGCATTACACTGGGCGCATTTATAGCATTTTTCATGGAGGTCAGTGAATTTCTGGTGCTCTGCAAAACATCCAGCCTGACGCTGTCCATAGCGGGCATTTTCAAGGACATATGCCAGCTGGCTCTAGCTGTGGCGCTCAAGGGCGACCAGCTCAGTCCCATCAATCTTGTCGGCCTGGCGGTCTGTCTGGCGGGCATCGCCTGTCACCTGCTGCACAAATATTCCAGCATGGCGAAGCTAAGCAAGCAACAGCTGGCACTGCAGCTAGAAGACGATGGCGAGGACATGTGCGCCGAGTACGACTTCAATAAAGGTAATACGATTGTTGGCGTTCATGGTAATACAGCTGGCGGTCATGCGACACTCACTGCGCCGCTTCTGGAACAAACCGACTCGGAGGATGAGTCGGCAACTGATTCTGCAAACAAGCAAAACGCATCGGATGTCATTTTCGATGTGCTCAAACGGCGCGACATGCAGCGATGAGTTGGTTGGCTTAAGTTTCCTGCACAACGCAACGTTTTTTTTTTCTGTTTGTTTATTGTTTCAAGGTTTCCGGGTAATATCCGGACAATTTGTGATTGCGGGTGTGAGCGTGTGTGCATGGAGGTGTGGCAGCTGTTGACACTCTTGTAAATGTTGTAAAAATTCGAAAGTTTTCTACTTAGTGCAACAATTTATCAACATCCGTGTTATAACCATATGTAAATTAATCGATGTCAGCTTATTTACACTGATATATACCCTTGCAGATGATATACTTTTGTATATACATGACTATACTATCCATCATCTGACCAGATCAGTTTGTCTGTTTCAATTCTATTCGGTTTAAAGGCCCATAGTTGTAATGCGATATAGTTTTGTTATTCCGGCTAGATTCGGAACGCCATATGCGTTGCCATAAGAACAAATGTTCGATGGAAATAATTAATCCATGCCAAGTCGACTCTATAGCTATGGTCTGCAAGGGTAATTGAATTCGGTGTGCCGGAAATTGATTTTAATATTCCAACATTCCCCGATGTCATTTATATTAGTTTTGATTTAGTTTGATAACGAAATAGAATTATCATTTAGTTGTTAATTATATTGTTGATTGGGCATTTGTGCATATTTTTTAGGCATCTTAGGTTTTAGCTAAAAAAAATATTGTATTTGCTGAAGGTATTCCCAACTAATATCTGCCAATATTAACCCTATGAACTGGCAACTACTATACTTTTTATAGTTATGATTTAACAAAATGCAAAGAGCACTTTTAAGGCTCTTTATCAAAATGTATTTGAAAGATTTGAACTTTCCGGGTTCTAAATAAAATTGTAACTGTATCAATTATGGGAATATGATAAAAGTGTATAAAGAAGCTTACCATATATTTATTATGGGATCACCCCAAGATATGGTTGATTGAACGTGTGGCTAATGCATCCGTTTCAGCCAAATGCCAATTGCATACTTCCCCCGTCAGGCATGACTCGCTGCTGGCCATTGCGTCTTTTCGGTATTGAGTGCCAGGTCTAACACCTTTCAATGTTGCGCTTAGCTTTGTGTACCTGTGCAGTTGGCCTTGTCCTGCTATTGTTCAACTTTTGGCTTTCGCAGTCGATTCAGCGTACTTCGACGCAGATATCGTCCAATGAGGAGAGACATTTCAATGACACGCTGGCTAAGCTACTAATACCACGTTGGCCCGGCTCTCGTGGGCATTCGTTGGTCTGCGACTTTCTCATCGAAGAACTGCGTACGCTTGGCTTTGTGGCAACTCGTGATGAGTTCTCGGACACATTTCCATTGACCAATGTGGTGGGAGTTCTGAATCCGAATGCAAAACAGTTTCTGCTGCTCAGCTGTCATTACGATTCGAAGTATTTGGAAACAACCCATCGTTATGTGGGCGCCACGAATGGTGCTGTCTCCTGTGCCATATTGCTGAACATGGCCAAGAAACTGAATTCCCTTTTCCGCGACGAGTTTGGGCGCAATCATATCGGCTTGCTGGTGAGTGGCAGGATGTTTTTTATGTGGCTGTCATCATTACTATTGTCTCGCAGCTGGTGTTCTTTGACGCCCACGACTCTGTAAATGGCATTACCGATAATACCTATCCACTGATGGGATCCAAAAGCTTTGTGAGGGCGGAAACTATGCCATTAAATCGCATCGTAAGCTCCATATTATTGTTAATCAATTATTTAAAGACAACTTTGGCATCCACAGAGTTTGGTCATCTCTTTCAATTTGATCGGCGCACCAGATCAAATCTATATGAGCAGATATGAACGTACATATTATTTACACGAACGCCTGGTGGACATTGAGGAGGACCTGCGGGCATCGGCTCAACTTGATCCGTGCCATCAGCTGTTTTACAAGTTAAAGGATCATGACAGCGATATAGACGACGATCACTATTCGTTTCTAGCCAAGGGTTAGTTCTTGCAATACTTATGCAAAGCAATTTATTAATATATTAAGTTAAGGCTTGCCGGTGATGCATGTACTGCCCCACACTTATCCAGATGTGTGGCTCCAAGAATCGGATAATCTACAGAATTTGCATTGGCCGACGGTGCGCAATATGAACACAATTATAACACGATTTGTCTATGAATATTTGAATTAGCTGCAAGGAGAAGGAGCAGTTAGATTTAGTTGAGTTCAAATAAAGAAACAACAAAATTACCACCATTTTTCAACTTCGATCACCAATAGCTATCGAATTGAAACGATTAAAGCTATTCGATAAGGTTCGACAGCGGCTGAATGCAACACTGCGCTACGCAGCTGCTGCAATCTGTGTTAGCCGCCTTCCCGCGCATTTCATGCTGGATTAGCTATATTTGTCTTTATGATACAACCACCAAACAGTTTGGCTATTTGGTTTTTCACTCGTCCAAAAACCACTGTAGAAATCAGTTGCGCCGCTCAAGCCAAACGCTCGCCAATTTAAATTCCATTGTGAGTAACCACACGCATCGGCATCGCTTTGGCGGTAACACCTAACCTTACATACAATCATACCACATACATGTATATTTATGTATACATTCTTTCATTCATATATATTTACATACATGTTGATGTTTTTTCTAGTTTTGTGAAAGAAAATTGTGAAATTTATCAGTTAACGGACAGCGAAAATGCCACGACGCAAGGTACTCACAAATAATAATAATGCCGAAGAGGAAACGACGATGCAGCCCACAAAAGCAAAAAGGGCGCGAATGATATTCCATCTGGAATTGCCGGAGCGTCGTCAAATAATTGGCAACGTTCTAGTCTGCGGCACTGGCGATACCGGCCAGCTGGGCCTTGGCGAGGACGTCTTGGAGCGAAAGCGTCCAGCTTTAATTGAGAGCATACCAAATCCAGTGGATGTCTGTGCTGGCGGCATGCACTGTTTGGTGCTGACAAAGAATGGCGATGTCTACTCGTTTGGCTGCAACGACGAGGGTGCGCTTGGCCGCGACACCAGCGAAGAAGGCAGCGAATCGACGCCAGCTCTCATCGATTTGCCTGGCAAAGCGCTTTGCATTTCGGCGGGCGACTCGCACTCGGCGTGCCTGCTGGAGGATGGCCGTGTTTTCGCGTGGGGCTCGTTCCGGGACTCGCATGGCAACATGGGACTTACCATTGATGGTAACAAGCGCACGCCCATCAATCTGCTTGAGGGCATGGTATGCTGCAGTATTGCATCTGGCGCCGACCACTTGGTAATCCTTACCACGGCAGGCAAAGTCTTTACCGTGGGTTGTGCCGAGCAAGGGCAGCTGGGTCGCATCGCTGAGCGTTCGGTTGGTGGCGAGGGTGAGTATTTTCACATAAAATATCGTTGTGTGCCATGTGCTAAACATTAAATATGTGCCATTTCGTAGGACGCCGGGGTAAGCGCGACTTATTGCGCCCGGACCAGCTAATCATAAAGCGCGCCAAGCCTTTTGAGGCAATTTGGGCTACCAACTACTGCACATTCTTGCGGGAGTCGCAGACTGAGGTCATTTGGGCCGTGGGCCTAAACAATTATAAGCAGCTGGCGCACGCAAAGGAAGCCGAACGCGTTCTTATACCCATCAAAACCGAGTTGAAGGACGTCAAGCAGATCGCTGGTGGTCAGCATCATACTCTGGTGCTGGACAATGCAATGCGCTGCTTTGCCATTGGGCGTCCCGACTACGGACGCTTGGGTGTGGGTGATGTCAAGGAAGTGGTTTCCGAGCTAACGCCAATCAAAGAGCTCAGCGGCAAGACCACATTTGTGGGTTGCGGTGAGGCTTGCTCCTATGCCATAACCACTGATGGTAAACTGTATTCCTGGGGCATGGGATCCAATCATCAGCTAGGTGTGGGCGATGGCGACGATGAGCTGGAACCGGTTGTGGTGAGCAGCAAGAATACACAAAACAAACGCATGCTGATGGCATCCGGCGGTGGTCAGCACAGTGTGTTTCTGGTCGAGTCCGATGTGAAGGAGAAGCAAAAGGAGAATGTGCCAGCCAGCAAGAAGCCAAAGGCAGCTGCTGTCGAAGCAGCCAAGGAGCCAACAGGGACAGATGTAAAGGATGACGATGACACGGCTGCCGCAGCTATTGATACAATTCCCGCAACGGGCGATGCCGGTAAGACGGTCAAAAAGACAGCAGCTAAACGTGGACGCAAGAAGGATTAATGTAGAAACGTCAATGAACGTTTCATTTGTTTATTTAAGCCGCATTCGTATGCGCAGCTACACTTACTACTTTAAGCCAATTGAATAAAATGTTTAACTGATTTTGTTTTAAATATATAGTGAAATTGTATGTGTACGCAAAATAGCACTAAAAGCTATTGCAAAAGCCGAAACACAACGAACTAAAACATTTATTTACAAACTAATCAACTTTTTAATTATTAATATTAACCGTTTATAATTTACAAATATCATACATGAAGTACTACAAATCCATTGTTTCAAGCGGCTACGAATGAAGATTAATTCACGACTCGAGCACCTAGCCCATGCAAAAAGCAAATGTGTGGATCATTTAAATGCAAACGGGGTGGAGGCTGCCCATTTACTCAATTTAAAATACAATACTAATTTATGTGCTCATCTATATAGTAATTTTGTATAAGTATATGCATATATATATATATCAAGATAACACATATATATATATATATATATATATTCCGACTACATGGAATATGATTCTGCTGGTTGATTGCCATGAACTGCTGCTGCTGCTGCCGCTGAATTGATGCTGGTGTCGACCAGAGACAGGTCGGTGGTGGTTGTTGTTGTTGACGAAGCGATGTGAACACCGCCTTCATTGTGGCCGTCATAGTTGCTACCCAGATAGAAGCTTAGGAATAATATGCAGCACAGCAAGGAGAGTGAAAGAAGCACGCGAGCTATTTTACGTGCGAATGCAACAAGACCAAGCAGATGACCACCATTGGCAACACCACCCATCTGACCGCCAACGCTTTGGCCACTACGCAGGGACAATTGAAGATGGGCCAGGAGTAACGCTTCTAAACAATCGAATTCATCATCTGTATATTCCAGCCCTAGGCCTAAATCACAAGCGCAGTTCTCTCTGTGCATATTGAAGTCGTCGTTGTTCTGATTGTTGTTGTTGTTGTTTTTGTTGTTGTGGTCATTTTTACTGGGTTGGTTTTGGTCGCTGGCAGTGGCTTCGTCTTGCATGGTCAGATTGCATTGAGACAGTAAATATTATTTGCGCTTGGGACACGTATATGCTGTAGGTTTGTGGCAACTTCCTCCACCCGAAGAATGATGATGAGGACGACCCCCCGATGTTTTATGCATCTGCTCGAACATTAGAAAGCCGAAACCAATAAAGAGCAGCAATAATAAAGCTAACGTAGCGTATTGTAAATGTTTTGTAAAGTTCAATTGAGCTTCCATTTTCTGTGCCTGCATCTGCAACTGTTCGGGTCCAAATTCCTGTGCGGGGGCAAAACGAAATATTGAATAGAAAAATGCAATCACAGGTATATCTCAAGCTAAGCAAACGTACGCGACTCGATTGGCCATCGTTCTTGACGCCACAATCCTTTTTCTCATCGAGACGACAAACAAGACGATAGTTCTCCACATCTGAGTCATTTGCAGTCTTCTCTCTCCACAGTTCTATAACTTCCTGAGCGCCGTTTCCCCCATCCGGCGTGCTAGTTGCCATTACAAGGAATTTATCTTTCCCATCTGAGCTCAGTATATGGTCCGGCTTTAGCCATATGCTCACATCGGTGGTTTCATTCGGTTGCACCACACCACAGCGTGGACGAACGCGAAACTTCTCTGGCGATGTGGTTTGTATCTATAACGATGCGATGTTGCCTTGAGATTTAATTAGGTGCAGCGGAGGAATGGGGCACATACCTTATAAGCGACCGGCTGACTGGAAATGTTCTTGAGACTTAACTTTGCTTCCCCGCTTTGTGGGCAAATATTGACAAATTCTTTGGGCTCCAATTGCAACATAACTGTACAGCAGATACAATATATATGTAGATGGGAAAAAAATAGTACGTTTTGATAATCAAACTATAAAAATTTTTGAAATTTATGTTCAAACGAAATAACAAAGTTTCATTAAATCTCAGCGAGATATGACTGATTTTAAAAGCAATGTTGTATACGATGGCATATATATGCCACTCATATATATGACTTACCCTCATCGTCGGGGGTTGTGTGCAGCTCGCCAAAGCTTGAATAGTGCGGCGACATCAGAACGCTCTTCGAGAAGTGTACCTGGCAAAGGGAGAGACACACAGACAATGAATGGATTCTATTTCAAATTGTGCCACTCGCTGGCAGCCCTTCTATATCCATCAATCGATTTATGCTGAGCTCTGCCATTTTCGCAAGTGCCATTCATGCGCTCTTGGCCCCACTTGAGCACGGAATTGGAGGACGTTTGGCAAATTGATTTGATTTACTTTGAAACAATTTGCACGCCCATAATACGCCGCATATGTTGGTAATTGTGTTTTGTTTTTCTGCATAAAACAGTGTTCCGAGAGTTTTATTTGTTATATAACAAACTAGCTATACCTTTGTTATTAAGGCCGACACTTTGAGGCAGAGAACAATAAACCTCAGATATTATTATTGTTGTTAAGATAAATCGCAACTTAATTGCTTAGCTATTGCAAACTTAGCTGCACGTTATGTTAAGCTGCTGTTATTAACAGCGCGACTGTTATACTCAAAGTAGCCCGTGAATATCGTAGCGTGCGACATGTTCGAGCTATTTTATTTTATTTTTTTTTTTTTAAATAACGAATGACATCTGCATAGCTTTAAAGAGCATACAAAGTCTTATTCTATAGTTAATTTCAAGAGTAATTGTTTAATTGCATACACATATTTTGCTCGCACTTTGAGTTATCAGCGTACTAACAGATATATCGATACCATTTACAGTAATAGAGGCATTGTGACGTAGCAGCGAGCAATGGGCTATGCACAGCATCTGCTCAACGAAAGAAATCAAAACGGTTTTAGAAATAAATATGCAAATTTTGACTGAATTCAATTGATATACAAATCTCCAAATAGAAAACCAGAAGTGCTGCAAGTAGCTACGCAAGGTTAAATTCACGTCTACACATCTTGAATATCAATTAGAATTCGTTTTCGTTCTGTACACCAATTCCGATGTCGTTGTTAT